GGAGCAGGGTCCCCCAGTCACCCCGCAGCTGGGGGATTCTTCACTAGGTGGCAGTCTCGGCTCAAGCAAAAGAACCAGCACCAGTCCAGGCTGTACTGGGAGGACTGGTTTCTGCCCAGTGCCGTCTGCTGGTTGATTGCCCTGCAAGGCCAGACCTCGAACTGTCCCCACTTCCCCCTCCCCAGGACCCCCTGCCAGCCCCCAGCGAGTTTGGGTTGGTCTGGTTTGGTTTTTCCTGAGTCCATGGGGCTCAGCGGGACAGGGGTGAGTGGGGCAGGGGCAGCTGCCATCAGTTCAAGGTAGCCGAGATGATGCTTGAGCATTTGTGAGGTCTTGCCCTGAGCAAGCAGCTATCAGCTCATTGTTTACTTCAGATCTGGGTGAGAGACTGACGCTCAGATTTTTATAGTAAAACCAGTGCTGTAGGGGTCTTTTTGGTTCTCCCCATGTCCTCATCAGGCCTTCGGAGCTGGGGCTGCTGAGGCAAAAGATGTTTCCCATGCCCAGACTTCACTGGCCTTGGTGGTGGGAGAGGGTGTTTGTCAGAAAGCGTCCCAAGCTCACGGCAACCTGGGGCCTTTCATGCCCAGAGCACCTCTGTGCCCAGGGGCCCGGGGCAGAGAGCTGGACACGGGGCGGTGGCAGGAAGGCCATAGGAAATGCTGTCCTTTCTTGCAGAGCCTGCAGCAGTCACGCTCTGGCAGCCCCATCGTGATCCTTTGGGATGTGCAGGCTGCCCCGAAAGCGTCGCCTGCTGGCAGGGAGAAGCCCTCGACCCTCCGTCGTCACCAAGGACTTCATCCGTGACCTCATGTAAGTCTGGGCCCGAGGGGCAGCTCTGAGGAGCTTTCGGGGCCCTGTGGGTCTGTCACAGCACCGTCACGGTGCACGGAGCTTGTCCCGCTGTTTGCCAGGACATCTCAGGGGAGGAGGGATGGGCAGCAGAACTCCAATACACCTGACTTGGGCGGCCACAGAGCCGGCGAGCGCTGAGCACTGGGCGTTTTAGAGAGGCACTGAATCATCATAAGAACCAGTAAAAAGCTACATAAAACATTCTCAGCAGCCAGAAAAGCTCCTTCTGGGCTGAACAGCCCCCCAAGGTGGCACCTGCCCACCATCACGTGTCAAACGCTGCCTCTCATGCCCCAATACTGAAAAGCCCCGTGTGAGAAAGGCAGTGGAGCGTCGCCTGCAGCCCTGCGCACCAGGAGCTGTGTGTTTCTCTACAGGGATGTTTTATAAGCAAGGCTGAACTGTAAGAACCCTGGCCTTAAATACTACACCTCATTAAAAGCCTGCAGCATATAGATGAGAATAGGGCCATTATCCCAGCCAGCTTCAATTTAGCCTCTTTGACCTCCCTAAATTTTCCTTGTAGTTGTCGCTCAGTGTGAGGTTCATCTTCGCTTCCTGTTTTGAACCTCCATGTAATGTTCTTACACCCCATAAAACGTGTCACCTGCCCCACGGATGGTTCGGGTGCGGGTTCTGTGGAGAGTGAAATGCACAGAGGCTTTTGTGGCTGGTTCAGGCTTTCGAGGCTGGTACCTGGTTTTATACATTCACGTTCTTATTTAGCCCTGCTGACGAAGCTGAGGGCCAATTTCCAGATGTGTCGCACAGCCACAGCTCCAGCTGAAGCTAATGGAAACTGTTTGTGCTGGCTTAATTCCTGAAAATCAGGCCCTAGACATCCCAGGCTGGTCACCCAAACACTGAGACGACTAAAGCAGTGGCCACTGTATCATTACATTTATTAGTGCCGTTGTGACCATTAGCCATTCTTTAAAGCGTCCTGGAATCCGATGCTGTGATGCAGCTCTCGAACGATCATTATGCAGGTATCTGTTCATATTCACAAGGGTGGATGAAAGGTGACACACAATAATAATGAGTAAATTCTTAGTCCTGAACATCTTCAAAGTGCTCTATGCATTTGGTTAATATACGCTCCTACACCACACGCGTCACCATGGTATCTGAGTAATACAAAGAGTAATTAACTCCTTACAACTCCCCTGGAAAACAACCCCATATTATTATCCACATTTTTACAAGTGGGGAAATGGGGGCACCAAGAGCTTCAGTGATTTCCTCTAAACCACAGTGTGAGTCACGGGCAGAGTTCGTTCCTCTGCAGTGTCCTGCAGAGCCGGGGTGACGGCTGGAGGGACACCTGCCAGCGCTGGGAGGGGAGAGGGTGCTCCGTGTTTGGGCAGCGCGGCGTTTCCTCATCTTGTGTTGGGTGGATTCTCGGGGCAGCGGAGCCCAAGCCGAGCTATGCTGTGCAGACCTGGAGCCGGAGCAGGCTGTGTCATTAAACAGAGTGAAAAGGCAGCTTCTGCTCCCCAAAATCTGTCTGCACAGAACAGAGGTTTCGATCTGGCACACGGGAGCAGCGACAGTCTAGGTGCAGGGATGAGCAGCGTGTCCACTGGAAAAGGGGTCAGGGCAGTGGTCAAAATTTTCGCAAATGAGGGCTGGGAAAGTCAAGTTGGAGTGAAATACTTTCAGCATTTTTTTATTGGGGCTGACCAGGCCCATGCTGAATGTTTTGGGGTTTTCCCGGGAGGCCCCTGGCCACCCCGCTGAGCATCCTGTCCCCTGTGCATCGCAGCGGGGTGCCACTTTCACTGCACTTTCTGTTACTTCCTCCCCCCTGACCCGGAGAGTCAGGTCCCCACAGCTCAGGTGCTTCCTGCATTGCTCTCCGGTGACTCCTGATCGCGGAGCTGCTCCTGCCGCCCCTGGTGTGGGCAGCCCAGGCAGGTCCCATGGCCAGGCAGGGAGGTTGGCAGGGCAGGGAACGGAGGGAGGAGGTCGGCAGGGCAGGGAACGGAGGGAGCTGTTGGAGACTCCATGCCACAGACCGCTCTCTCTCTGTGCCCAGCGTCCCTGCAGAGAACCCAGCAGCATCCCTCATTATTGGCCAGGAGGATTTCCAGCGCATTAAAAAAGCAGCTCGAGTCCTGACCAAGGAGGAGCGTGAGGCCAAGCTGGCAG